TGACCATGCAGTGGGAGACTCGACTGTCCGTCCGCACGTGCTCGTTGAAGTGTCTGATGGCCACGGTTTGTTTATCCTCCTGTAAACAATAGGACCAACGTATACACAGAGTTTCACAACTTATGCCAAGAATAACGCGATCAATGAAGGAAGGGTATGCTCAGTGCTGACCACACATTCCTTGAACTGGGAGAAGCTCAGAAAGCACTTCTATCGACCAACAGAAATGGGGGCCAGGGGCCAGTACCTGAGGAGCGAAACCAGTCCCCACTATTTGCCTCTGTGGAAAAAATTAATGCAGCAGTTTTGCATGAATGCGAATGACTCGGCCGTTCACCATCGGCTGTGTGTGCACACGGCTCATCCCAGACTCCAGAAAGAGTGAGGGGGAGGTACTCTCTCTCTCTCCTCAAGCCAAGAGAACTCTCATCCCTGTTCCTTCTGGCCACTGAACATGACCGTCTGTGCCCATGCTATCCTCCTGGAAAAGAGGAGCTCTGTAGAGGGTCCGGGGGTAAGTCGTGGCAACACAGTGGGATCCACATTTTTCCTTAACAAATTCGCCAAACATAAGCATCCTTTTTTTTTTTTTTTGGTCGAAACTTGAAAACCAGGTCCCATCTTCTATGTATCTAACCAGGCGTTAGCCACCAGTTTAAAGTAAATAGGCTAACTCAGGCAGGGGTGGGGGTGGTACATCCTTCTGGCGAGAAGTAATCAATGCCGGCCCTCGGACTTTCCTACCGTAAAGGGGAACAGCGTGTGTGTGTCTCTCATGTATTCCAATCGACTTGCCGGTGGAATAGGAACCGGACTGATGCCCCCCAGAATGGAAAAGGGGCCAGAACCATAAGGTTCTGTTTTATGTTAACAAGTGGAACCCGCCACGGCTACGCCGTGGCGCTCAGCAACACTCGCTGACGGCGTTTTTCTTTTGTTTCATGTCTCTCTCTCTCTCTCTCTCTCCACATCTAGATGTGTATAAGAGACAGTGGCTGTTGTGCGACCGCTGCCCTTGCAGCGCCCCTCACCTCAGCGCCTGTGCGCACGTCCGACCAGCAGCGCCCATGCAGACACTTGTGCAGCAACGCAGCAGC